GGCTTTTGTTCTAGAAGCTATTTGGATACCTGAAACAAATATGGGGTTTTTGTTTTTGTTTTAATTTTGATAAGCTAGAAAGAGAATGATGAAAAATATCATGCCTATAGTGAAAATGGCAAAAAATTGTTTCTTCATTTTTGGCAGGGATATACAGTTAATTTTTGGTTCTCAGGTAACTTCCACTGGAGCCATTCCCTTCTGCTTGCACAAGCTAAGCAAGGTTGGCCTGGTTAGCATGTGATTGGCAGACTCCTGTGAAGTGGCATGAAACTCTGCCCTTTGAGCCAGTAATGACTTAAATTAATACCACAGCTCAGAGACACAGACCTTGAACTTGCATTCTTCTTAGCATATGTGCAATGCGCCTCATGTGGCATGTAATCAGGATTCACCACCGAATTTGGTCTGCTGGTTGGATCATTAACTTCCCTGGCCTAGGCTGGGTACTGACAGGGAGTGCATCATGAACACTGATCCATGCCTCCCAAACATGCACTGAGGCCCTGATACTTTAGTGGGGCTATGCCTGGTGGGTAGGTCTGCCTAAGCAACTGTACCTTGCACGATCAGGGCCCAAGTTAAGTTTGGCCTTGATCAAACATGCTTAGACATGTGATGAGTAACCGTACTCATGTGAGTAATCTCATTGCCCCTGATCCTGCAGTTGGATTCACATGGATTCACATGGATTCACCAAGGGTCTGCCTGTCCAGATATGACTGTAAGCTGGGTCACAGAGTTCAGTGGCACGACTCCCATCTCTGTTTACAGGATTGGGGCCTGGGGCACTGTTTTTACAAGAGGGTTTTTTGCACTGATGTAGCTATCTAGCAAAACCACCACAGTAGATTCACTACACAAGCCCTGCTTGGCACTGGTGTAGTGCAGTGGTTCCCAGACTAGGGGCGCCACTTGTTCAGGGAAGGCCCCTGGCGGGGGCCGGGCCGGTTTGTTTACCTGCTGCGTCCGCAGGTTCGGCCGATCGTGGCTCCCACTGGCCGCGGTTCGCCTCTCCAGACCAATGGGGGCTGCGGGAAGGGCGGCCAGCACATCCCTCAGCCAGCACTGCTTCCCGCAGCCCCCATTGGTTGAGAACAGTGAACCGTGGCCAGTGGGAGCCACGATCGTCCGAACCTGCAGACGCGGCAGGTAAGCAAACCAGCCCAGACAGCCAGGGGCTTTCCCTAAACAAGCGGCGCTCCTAGTTTTGGAACCACTGGTGTAGTGTGTTTACATTAGTCACTTGCACCAAGTTACACCAGTGCAAATTTCCCTACTTTAGACAAGCCCTTAAGTAGCATCTGTATTTCCACTGAGGATACAGTGTCTGATTCCCCCTTGCCCTGCACCTTTCATAGTGACTTACACTAGAGCAAAGCATTTGTTAAATGTTTTCAGATTAGAATGATAGTACATTACACCCATTTTGCCGTGATGAAAATCTACCCAAGGGGTAGGGCAAGCGAGAAAGAGGCCTAGTTTACCTTTAAACATTAGATCAACCTAGCTATATTGCTCAGGAGGACTGTGAAAAATTTTGAAGTCGTAATGTTGACCTAACCCTTGTTGTAGGCATGGCTAGGTCTACTGAAGAATCCTTTAGTCCACCTAGCTCAGAGGTGGGCAAACTAGTGCCCGCGGGCCACATTCCCTCCAGACCCTGAGCTTCTCGCCCAGGAGGCTAGCCCCCAGCCCCTCCCCTGCCGTTCCTCCTCCCCTGCAGCCTCAGCTCACTGCGCTGGGCAGCGGGGCTGTGAGATCCTGGGGCAGCGCAGTTGCAGAGCCCAGCGTGACCCGGTGCTCTGTGCTGCGCGGTGTGTGGCTGGCTCCAGCCGGGTGGTGTGGCTGTAGAGCTGCCAGCCACTGGTGCTCCAGGCAGCGCAGGAAGGGAGCAGAGAGCAGTGGGGGTTGGAGAGAGGACGGGGAGTTCGGGATGGTGGTCAGGGGGTGAGGGTGTGGATACGGGGCGGGGCGGTCAGAGGACGGGGAACAGGGGGGTTGAATGGGGGCAAGGGTCCTGGGGGGCAGTCAGGAAGGAGGTGGGGATTGGATGGGGCAGCAGGGGGGCAGTCAGGGGCAGAGGTTCCGGGGACGGTCAGGGGACAGGGAGAAGGGGTGGTTGGATGGGGCAGGAGTCCTGAGGGGGCAGTCAGGAATGAGAGAGGGGGTTGGATGGGGTGGCGGGGAGCAGTCAGGGGCAGGGGTTCCAGGGATGGTCATGGGGACAGGGAACAGGGTGGTTGGATGGGGCAGGAGTCCCGGGAGGGCCCTCAGGGGGCAAAAAGCTGGGGGGGGGAGGTCAGATGGGGGCAGGGGCTGGGCCACACCTGGCTGTTTGGGGAGGCACAGCCTCCCCTAACCGGCCCTGCATACAATTTTGGAAACTGATGTGGCCCTCGGGCCAAAAAGTTTGCCTGCCCCTGACCTAGCTACTGCCTCTCGGAGAAATGGGCTCATTACCTTGATGGAAAAACCCCTTCCATCGACTTAGGAAGTGTCTACACAATGGCACAACAGCAACAGCTATAGTTCTGTAGGGGCCATAGTGTAGATGCACCCTGAGGCCTGAAGAATAGGACAGAAATGCTATGCACGGTTGCACTTGTCTATTTTTACTACAACTATTAGAAACAAGGGTGGCTTTTTTAAAAACCAAAACTTACTAACTTTGATATGTGTTGAGGTCACATTAGTGTTTGTTAATGTTTTTCGTTAGTGATCTTTATGTAAGCAGTGTCAGGATGAGCTCCACCCTGACATCTGGTGGTGAGGTGTGGCAAGTTGTGGAAAAGAACTTCAGGGGCTGATCTCATTTGCATAGGCACACCCACCCCGCCTAGAATGAGGCCATAGCTGCCCAAATGGTCACTTTGGCTGCTGTGGGATCCCCAGTGTCTCTGTTACTGGGGCAGGAAGAATAAATTGTTATTACCCTGATTATGGGAACTGTGCTTAGAACTGTACGTGGCCTTTTGTTATGATGGAGGGATTCACCATCAACTAAGTAGCACTTGCTAGGCAAGGGTCATGGGTTCCAAAACTGTGTGAATGGAGAGAGGCTGGGGACAAGTATTAATAGTTGGTGGTATGGGCCCCTTGGTGAGGGTCTTACATGCTAATTGCACTTCCTCCTCTCTCCACTGTGGAATATCAGAGCTAATTTTGATTTCATTAGAAGTCTGGTTGTAGGCTGCTGAGCTCACTTTGGGCTGACAGTGCACCAGCACTGGGGCTCCCCTACTACAAGCTGAATTCACCTAAGAGCTGAAATCACTGAGTGTTGTGTTAAGTAGTGGGGGAGCCTGAAGATATATTGTGGAGCAGTTTGCAGGACGGCTGGAGTGCCTTGCGGACCGGCTGGTAAAGCAGTTTGACGCGGAGCAGTTTGTGGATGGCAGGAGCTGCTTGTGGGCCGTGGAGCTGAGCGAAGGAGTTCGTGGGGCGGCTGGCGGAGCGGAGCGCCGCTATGGGGCGGTCAGCTTCAGATCATGTAAGGTGCCTCTTACCCCCGTCCCATTTCCACCCAGGTTGGGAGGTAAAGCTCCGCAGATAAACTTTCAAACTCTGGGGCTGCCCTGACCAGGGACAGAGACTTTTGGGGCATTGGACTTTTGGGACTTTGGGTGATTTGGGGTTGCTGGACTCAAGAATCAAAGGGAAAAGGGCATGCCCCAATTTGCTTGGGGTGGGTTTTTTTTGCTCATGGGTTGTGTTATGAATCCTGTTGGTGGTGTTTCCCCAACTTAATGCCACATTGTTTCTCTCTGTTATTAAAAGGCTTTTGCTACACTCAGACTATGTGCTTGCGAGAGGGGAAGTATTGCCTCTTGAAGGCGCCCAGCGGGGGTGGTATATATTTGTCCCAGGTCACTGGGTGGGGGCTCGAGCCGGTTTGCATTGTGTTATTGTAATGGATCCCCTAGATATTGAACCCGGCCCTTGTTGCTGCCAGCTCTGATGGGCAGAAGGGTTACATTTATAATGATATTCCTAAATTATTTTATTTTACCAGCATTAGTTGGAAGGAGATTTTTATCAGCAAATGTCCATAAAAGTAGATCTCACCCTAGGCACGCAAACCAAAAAAAAATAAAAAAGTTATTTCCATCGATGATAACAGAAATGTACAGATTGTCCGGCAAAGGAGGAAAAATGCGGCTTGAGAATTTCTAAGAATTTGATTTAAGGATCTTCACTGTATATTTTGGCACGTGGCGATGACAAGTTGTGCGTTAACAGTTATAAAGCGCCGTCTTCATGAATCGCAAAACCTGTCATTAACTAATTATTGTCTGACCGCCCCCACCCCGCCCCATTTCCTGCAACATTTTAAACGGAAAAAAAAAGGAAAAAAAAGCAGTAAACAATGCTTAAACACAAACATCGATGTGATCTTTTAGAAATGAGATAAAAATAAAGCTTGAATTCTGCCAAGCCGAATTATAACCCTCAGGGGCTGCTTGGCACCAACTCCCCCCCCCCGCGGTCACTGACTGTCCACCACTGGTGGCTTATCATAGAATCATAGAATATCAGGGTTGGAAGGGACCCCAGAAGGTCATCTAGTCCAACCCCCTGCTCGAAGCAGGACCAAATCCCAGTTAAATCATCCCAGCCAGGGCTTTGTCAAGCCTGACCTTAAAAACCTCTAAGGAAGGAGATTCTACCACCTCCCTAGGTAACGCATTCCAGTGTTTCACCACCCTCTTAGTGAAAAAGTTTTTCCTAATATCCAATCTAAACCTCCCCCATCGGGATCGGCTTGATCCCCTTTATTTGGATCACCCTTTCCCGACCCGCCAGACGCCCCCGCCCGCCCCAAAGGTAAACCGGGAAGCGTCGAGCCCGGAGTGGGATTTCCCGGCCGGTGCCTGCCGGCTGCAGTGGGATTTCCCTGCTCGGTGGGACGCTCCGGCGGCGGCGCTTCCCCCTAACTCAGGGCTGAGGCTCCTGGAAGCCGCGGCGCTGGCGGGGCTCCTCCCCTGCGAGTGGCGGCGGCGGGGGCGAGGAAGCTGCAGCCGGAGCCGCCGGGGGAGCGGAGCCCGGGACACCCCGGCAGGTGAGAGCCGCTGCCTCGGGCGCGGGCAGGGACACGCGAGGGGGCCCCTGCCCCTGCCCCTGCCCCGTGAAGTTGAAGGCCAGACCCGGGGGCGGGGAAGAGGGACTCTGGGGTGCACTGACCGACGGGGAAACGAGGCGAGTGGAGGGGGCGGAGGGCTGGGCACCTGGGTGCTGGGGGGGGGTGCTCTGGGTGCTGGGCGCCGGGGGGGCGGTGGGGGGAGGGTAGGCAACTGGGTGCTGGGGGAGGGTGGGCACTGGGCGCTGTGGGGGGCAATGGAGGGAGGGTGGGCGCTGGGTGCTGTGGGGGGCGGTGAGGCGGATGGTGAGCTCTGGGCGCTTTGAGTGAAGGTGGGGGGAGGGTGGGCACTGGGGGCTTTGAGGGGTGGTGGGGGAGGGTGGGCACTGGGTGCTTGGGGGAGGGTGGGGCGGACGGTGGGCACTGGGTCCTGTGGGCGGCGGTTGGGCGGACGGTGAGCTCTGGGCGCTTTGAGGGGTGGTGGGGGCTTTGAGTGAAGGTGGAGGGAGGGTGGGCACTGGGGCCTTTGAGGGAGGGTGGGCTCTGGGTGCTGTGGGGGGAGAGTGGGCACTGGGTGCTTTGAGGGGAGGTGGGGTCAGGGTGGGCTCTGGGTGCATTGGGCAAGGTGGGGGTGGGCACTGGGTTTACGTGGGAGGAAGGTGGGGGAGAGGGCATTGGGGGGGAGATGAGGGAGTGGGCACTGTGTGCATTGGGGAAGGTGGGGGAAGGGGCACTGGAGGAGATGAGGGAGTGAGGAGGAGTGGGCACTGGGTGTACTTGAGAGGAAGGTGGGGAGTAATGGCATGGGATGCACTGGAGGAAGGTGGAGGGATGTGTGTAGGGGTGGGTGTTGTGGGGCCAGGAGGTGGCAGAAGCAAGGTGCATAGTGCTGCTTCTAACTGTAAAGTTTGCCCCCTGCCCCCTTTAGTGACTGCTTCTAGTCTCGAGACAGACAGTGGGAGTTGTAGTGAAGGGGGGGAGACCCCGGGTCCTCTTCTGTAAGGGATGGGATTTCCCTCTGCTTGATTTCCCTGGGACTCTCACACGTTCAGCGCACCAGCACAGCTATTCACTTGTACTTGGTTATTAAACCAGGACACTGGCTTCCTCTTGTCCCTCCACGTATCAAAAACCCCATCAGATCCTTTTCAAACAACAGGTTTGGTGATTGATTTGCTTAGGAACACGTAAGCGGAAAACCAATGACTATACTCGGATTACAGGCTTCACTGTGACTGTTGTGAAATCTATATGGCTGGAGCAACATTTGAAAGCCAAGTGATGATGACTGGGTTGAAGTGTAAATGTTAAAGTGACAAATGTAATAATCAGATTGTATTTGTTTAAGCAAACCATGCAGTTGTGGATATTGGACACACAGCTGGCAAACACGGCATCTCCCTTCCCACCCATGAACTAATTGGTAAACAGAACAGGAGTACTTGTGGTATCTTAGAGATTAACACATTTATTTGAGCATAAGCTTTCATGGGTTACAGCCCACTTCATTGGATGCACAGAATGGAACATATAATAAGAATCTATCTATAATCTGCAGGTTGGGGGGCTGTCTGTAAGCGAGGACTGGTCTGTTTCCCAAGATCTGTGAGAGTGAGGGTTCATTTTTCAGGACCGGTTGTAGATCTTTGATGATGTGCTGGAGAGGTTTTAGTTGGGGGCTGAAGGTGACAGCTAGTGGTGTTCTGTTGTTTTCTTTGTTCTGTCCTGTAGTAGGTGACTTCTGGGTACCCTTCTGGCTCTTTCAATCTGTTTCTTCACTTCAGCAGGTGGGTGTTGTAGTTGTTGATAGAGATCTGGTAGGTGTTTGTCTCTGTCTAAGGGATTGGAGCAAATGAAATTTCCCTTACTTGAATGCTGCCCAGATAATTACCCAGTCAACTTGCTCAGGCAAGTAATGCTCCTCATGAGAGGTTTCAGAGTAATAGCCGTGTTAGTCTGTATTTGTAAAAAGAAAAGGAATACTTGTGGCACCTTAGAGACTAACCAATTTATTTGAGCATAAGCTTTCGTGAGCTACAGCTCACTGCATCCGATGAAGTGAGCTGTAGCTCACGAAAGCTTATGCTCAAATAAATTGGTTAGTCTCTAAGGTGCCACTAGTACTCCTTTTCTTTTTGCTCCTCATGAGATTACTGCTTTAGGGTTTGAACACTAAAGTCAATGGGAATGTGTCCTTGTCTTCAGTGTAAATAAGATCAGGCTTTTAATGTCTACTAGGCATAAAGGGTGGTTATGGAGGAAAGCTTGTTGCTACTAAGTATTACATTTTTCCAGCGTTTTTCCAACAGTGCTACTTGTGTATAATGCTGTAGTTTTAGTCTACTCCTAGCTGATTTATTTCCCTCTTCCCCTTAAAAGTAGCTTCTTAGAAGCATCTGAAGTTTTGCACCAGTGGCTATGCAGTAAGTGTTGGCAGGGTGGTACCATCCCTTCAGGCCTTCTGTATGTCATAACAACTTTAGTGCAATCTGTTGAATTATTGGTCTGTTACTAGGATGTCAGGCTTTATCAGTCTCAGCTTCTTATTCTTGTGTGGCAAGGTAAGTTTGGGAGCAGACTCCAGATTCTTGTTCTTCAGTACCATGTGCAGTCACACAGCCACTTTCTTGGCAGCAGCTTTGTCTAATCATCTGCTTTTGTGGATCAGAGGGAGGCATGGTTTACCAGAGGAGGGTGAAACATTCTAAAATGCTCTTAATTTCCTCTGTTCCTTTTTTTTGCCTTTGAGTGGAAAATTGCTCCTGTTTTCCTCAGACCTACAGGAAGTATGCTGCCACCTCTCCATGCTCTCATTGTCTCCTATTCTTCACTGCTGCATAATAGTCACAGAGAAACTGTTTTTCTGGGAAATTAACATTTTCTGTGAAAAAAACATTCTGATTTCCTTCTTCAGGAGCTGGGGATTTAAATAACCCCCTGCAGTGTTGAGAACCCAGATCTGTAGAACTTCTCACCTGGGTGAAGCTAGGCATGTGCCTAAGGCCATGTCTATAGCTGTACTGGCAAATTATCCTAGTTAGATGCAGCTTCTACTATCAAAAGTTGCCAAAGCAAAATAAGCTTTTTTGCTGGTATGACTGCTAGGGCTTTTGCTGGTATAGCTGTGCTGGAAAATACTCACGCCTGCAACCGACATAGCTATGCCAGCAAAACTTAAAAGTACACACTAGGCATCAGTCTCTGCAGGATCGGGCCTTAGTACATGAACAGAAAGAGAAACTGATTTAAAATTGTCTATAAACAAAACAAAGACTAAAGAAGTGCTTTACATAAGAACGGCCATACTGGGTCAGACCAAAGGTCCATTTAGCCCAGTATCTTGTCTTCCGACAGTGGCTAATGCCACATGCCCCAGAGGGAATGAGCAGAACAGTTAATCAAATGATCCATCCCCTGTCACCCATTCACAGCTTCTGGCAAACAGAGGCTAGGGAAACCATCCCTGCCCATCCTGGCAAATAGGTCCATCAATGGCTATCTTCCTGAATTTATCTAGTTTTTTTTTTTTTTTTAAACCCTGCCATAGTCTTGACCTTCACGACATCCTCTGGCAGAGAGTTTCACAGGTTGACACTGCATTGTGTAAAGAAATACTTCCTTTTGTTTGTTTTAAACCTGCTGCCTATTAATTTCATTTGGTGACCATAGTCTTTGTGTTATGACAAGGAGTAAATAACCCTTCCTCATTTACTTTCTCCACACCAGTCATGATTTTATAGACCTTTATCATATCTCCCCTTAGTTGTCTCTTTTCCGAACTGAAAAGTCCCAATCTTATTAATCTCTCCTCATATGGCAACCATTCCATATCCCTAATAATTTTTGTTGCCCTTTTCTGAACCTTTTCCAATTCCAAAATATCTTTTTTGAGGTGGGGTGACCACATCTACACACAGTATTCAAGATTTGGACGTACAATGGATTTATATAGAGGTGATATTATATTTTCTGTCTTATTATCTATCCCTTTCTTAATGATTCCCAACATTCTGTTAGCTTTTTTGACTGCTGCTGCACACTGAGTGGATGTTTTCAGAGAACTATCCACAGTGATTCCAAGTTCTCTTTCTTGAGTAGTAACAGCTAATTTAGACATTTTATATGTATAGTAGGGATTCTGTTTGCCAATATGCATTACTTTGCATTTATCAACATTGAATTTCATCTGCCATTTTGTTTTATTATCTAAATTGATGTAATTTAAAATAAAATAACAGAGGTAAAATAAGACATTTGATCCTGCATTCCCTGTACAAACTACATTTTCATTGCCTTCAACGTGGCAGCTGCCTTGCATGAGGACTGCGGCCATCATGCCAAAAGATATGAAAAGTACCTTGGACGTGTACGATACGCACACATCAAAATTTGTTAGGATGGTCACATTATTGTTTTCCTTTTAATGCTAACTACTGCATTTTTGCAGTTAACTAAATCTTAATGAGAAAAATCCTCATTTTAAAAAACAACAAAAACTGAGGCCTTGTCTACCATTGATATGGTGAACAGTGTTGAGCACAGGTGTTACTACGTAGATGGAGTTACACTGGGGCTAACCCTTCACGTATACACACTGCACTGATATAAAGCAAGTCTTTACTATTACTTTGATTATGTCCTGGAATTATTAGTCCTCTCTCAAAAAAGTTTTTATAACCATCGAACAAAGCTATCTTTAAAAAGTTACCAGTTTAAGTCAATTTTTAAAACCCATATATCAAATTCTGGGAATTTTTACTTTTTTTATTTTTAAACTGTGAAAGTGGCACAGCTGAGGAGTAACATATCATGTAAAATGGAAATGACAATGAAGATTTCTGAAACATTCCTGAAATGTTGGAGGAGATTTATGCCTATGTGCTGTGGTGTACCACTGAGATGTCTTAGAGAAGAATATTGCTTTGTATATCTGTCAATGCCAGCTACAGTGGACTGATCACATCAAGATACACAATTACCCT